AATTCAAACACATTATTCTACAGACATACCTTTAATAATTCAAACACATTACTCCACAGACATACCTTTAATAATTCAAACACATTACTCCACAGACATACCTTTAATAATTCAAACCGTTACTCCACAGACATACCTTTAATAATTCAAAGCCGTTACTCCACAGACATACCTTTAATAATTCAAACACATTACTCCACAGACATAGCTTTAATAATTCAAACACATTACTCAACAGACATACCTTTAATAATTCAACCACCTAACTCCACAAACATACCTTTAATAATTCAAACACATTACTCCACAGACATACCTTTAATAATTCAACCACCTAACTCCTTTAATAATTCAACCACTTATCTCCACAGACATACCTTTAATAATTCAACAACCTAACTCCACAGACATACCTTTAATAATTCAAACACATTACTCCAGACATACCTTTAATAATTCAACCACTTATCTCCACAGACATACCTTTAATAATTCAACAACCTAACTCCACAGACATACCTTTAATAATTCAAACACATTACTCCACAGACATACCACCTTTAATAATTCAACCACCTAACTCCACAGACATACCTTTAAATATATAAATAGTCAACTCTACAAACATACCTTTGATAATTCAAACACATTATTCTACAGACATACCTTTGATAATTCAAACACATTATTCTACTAACATACCTTTAATAATTCAACCACCTAACTCCACAGACATACTTTTAATAATTCAAACACGTTACTCCACAGACATACCTTTAATAATTCAAACACGTTACTCCACAGACATACCTTTAATAATTCAACCACCTAACTCCACAGACATACCTTTAATAATTCAACCACCTAACTCCACAGACATACCTTTAATAATTCAACCACCTAACTCCACACACAGACATACCTTTAATAATTCAAACACTTAACTCCACAGACATACCTTTAATAATTCAACCACCTAACTCCACAGACATACCTTTAATAATTCAACCACCTAACTCCACACACAGACATACCTTTAATAATTCAAACACTTAACTTCACAGACATACCTTTAATAATTCAAACACTTAACTCCACAGACATACCTTTAATAATTCAAACACCTAACTCCACAGACATGCCTTTAAATATATAAACAGTCAACTCTACAAACATACCTTTGATAATTCAAACACATTATTCTACAGACATACCTTTAATAATTCAAACATCTCGGCACTTGCATAGGGAGAAGGACACCACAGGATTCGTAAATGAGGAAAGTGGATAGTCAATAAAATCAGTTTTGAAGCTACACTTGTAGCCGAGACTTCAGTGGACAGGTAATATTTTCCCTGTTTAACAGTTTCAAATATTAAAAAATTACCCTTAATTTTTGGCATTTAAACATTTGTAAAATTTCTACTTACTTCAAATTTCAGAAAATGAAAAGAATCAACAATTTATATATCTTATCATTTTAGACACATTTTTCTATGACAATATTAACCAATAATAGTTTAGTATGTATTAAAAGGAACATTTTAAACTTGAATTGTAATAACAGTTTCAACAAAAATTGTTCTTTTATATTAAATAGTCACAGGAGACCTAATAATAGTTGCACACTGTTTTTCTCGATATTTACTTCCCGATTCATACTACAAGCAAACATTTTTGATACCTTTCCCAGTTTAATCAGGACTTTTGATGCAAACCAATATATTTACAAAACAATCAAAGTCAACTACTATGTACTGCTTGATAAAAAGTCTAGACAGAAGAGAGTATGATTGAACGGTCTTTATTAATGGGCTGTATCTGTCTAGGAAATTGTTAAAGGTCGTTATTAACAGGCTGTATCTGTCTAGGAAATTTGTTAAGGTAGTTATTAATAGGTTTATCTGTCTAGGAGTTTTTAATGGTCATTATTAACAGGCTGTATCTGTCTAGGAAGTTTTAACGGTCGTTATTAACAGGCTGTATCTGTCTAGGAAATTTTTAAAGGTCGTTATTAACAGGCTGTATCTGTCTAGGAAGTTTTTAAAGGTCATTATTAACAGGCTGTATCTGTCTAGGAAATTTTTAAAGGTCATTATTAACAGGCTGTATCTGTCTAGGAAATTTGTTAAGGTCGTTATTAATAGGTTTATCTGTCTAGGAAGTTTTTAGTGGTCATTATTAACAGGCTGTATCTGTCTAGGAAATTTTTTAAGGTCGTTATTAATAGGTTTATCTGTCTAGGAAGTTTTTAAATGTCATTATTAATAATTTGTATCTGTCTAGGAAGTTTTTAAATAATGTTTTGAGTTGCTATTGCAGATCTGTGTTAGCAGCTCAAAATGTTGTTTAAAAACTTCCTAGATAGATGCAGTCCATTAATAACGACCTTTTAAGTACACACAAATACTTCTAACATAATAGGTTTTATATCCTTTAATTAAAAAGGCTGGGCCTTTCAAAAGATGTAGGATTTTAGATATTGAAAATAAAATGTTTGGAAAAAGTATACATTGTGTATATTCTATTCACAACGATAATATACAAAAAAACAACTTGTTCATCTCACCCACCTGTAGAGAAAATGCTTTGGTTTGGTCAAACTCGATTAATAAAATTGGTTGTTTATAGTAGCGACTCATTGCCTGGGCTTGGCTATAGAGTCGACCATTATTCAAAGAGCCAATCAGGTCATTAAGGCTTTTCCTTTCCACACATGTATCTGGTGTCAATATGTAATCTCCAACCTCAGAAAAATACAATCAAAGAGCCTATATGGTTATTATTTCATTCAAAATAGATAATTTGCAGCTAGTGTTTCAATACATCTTATAAGAGCTGAGACCAAATAGTAATTTTCAGTAGTAAATACATCAAAATAATAATTTCATTATAGGTTTTTTTTTAAATCAAGAAGCTACTTCCTAATTGGAAAACCCTCTTTATTTCTATATACTCACATTTTTTAATACTTTACTAAATTATTTCAAAACTTTTGATGCAAATTAATTTTTTGTTACTGTGCAATGAAAGTTATTATGGGGTATCGGAAAGTAATGTTATTTTTGTATACTTAAATTTAAATGTTCCTAAATTTGTGCTTTTGTTTCTTTTCAGGTGAATTTGATTTAGCAGGCAAAAGAACTCTTCTTGTTCATCAATTTTCTGTTAACAGAAATAGTTTTCCTCTAATCAAAAAAATGACTGACCACATTCCTAACAAAAATCACATTCGACATTGCATGCTCTATGAGTTTCATAAATGTAATAAGGCAACCAAAAACATTTATGGGGTTTATAAAGATGCTTTGAGTGTCCACAAATGGCAGTGGTGGTTCAGAAAATTTTGATCAGGTGATTTTGAAATCTAAGATTACCATCATTCAGGGAGACCAGTAGAGTTGGACAATGACCTCTTGAGGTCAGAGGTTTGGTCAGATCCCCATCATACCTCCAACAACTGTCAGAAAAACTTAATTCTTCTTGGTCTAACATTCAAGAACATCTTAAACAGATTGAGTAGGTCAATAGACAAGAAGTTCAGGTACCACACAAACTGTCAGATGACAACAAAGCCCAGTGTATAACAATTTTCAATGCATTGAAAACCAGACATGAGAAAGAACCATTTTTTCATCAGAATGTTACAAGAGATGAGAAATTGGTTTATTATGTCAGCACCAAGCACAGGAATCAGTAGCTTAGCCCTGGGCCTGAATCCAATTCCAACAGCCAAACCAAGTCTACATCTGCAGAAAGTCTTGTTAGTCTCGTTGTCCATTTGGTGAGACAGAGTTGGCATAATTCACATTGAGTTACCAAAATCGAATCTATAAGTGCAGACCTTTATTGTCAACAATTGGACCATTTGCACCAGGCTCTCGTTGAAAAACGTTCAGCACTCTTCAAGAGAAAAGGAGTCATTCTACAACATGACAATGCGAGACCACATTCTGCAAGAATGACTCAGAACAAGATCAGAAATTTGGATTTGGAAGTCCTGCCTCACCCGCCATACTCTACTGACATTGTGCCTCTTCAGATTATCATTTATTCAGATCTATGCAGCACCTTCTTAGTGATAAAACCTTTAGAAATAATGATGGCATCAAAACTGCTATCGCAGAATTCTTTGTCTCAAAGGAAACTTCCTTCTATCAATGAGGATTTGAAAGCTTGATTGAAAGATGGTACATTGTCATTAATAATAATAGGGATTATGTAACTGATTGAAAAATAAATACTTACCTTTAAGAAGATCTTTTACTGTATAAGGAAAAAAACATGACATTACTTTCCAGTGCAACTAATAATTACTGTGTACTGAAATTATTAAATTATTGAGGATTAATTTTAGCGTAGTCAAATATAACATCATTACAAACATACAAAAATTGGATGTCTTCGCAAGTACCTCTAATGTAATAGGTTCTACGTCTATACCTCTTCTGTGAATGAGAGATGGCAGGTCACTTCTGAATTCTCGAAGATCAACAATAATCTGAAAACAGTCAAATAGAGCAGAAACAATAAGACACTAAATCAGTTATTTAATGCTGAAAAAATCTAAACAAATTAATAATTTATGTTGCCAATCAACGTTTATGAAGACTGTTCTTAATTTATTTGGTTTGGTTGATTGTTTGTTTGTTATTAAGCATTGTGGGTGCTTCAACCCAATTTTAGCATTATAAGCCTTCAGATTTACCACTGAACCACTAGGGAACTATTTATTTGAAACATTTGAACTTAAATTGAAAATTTGAAAGATACTTGTAACATACTGCGAAACTTGAGCTTCTTCATAGCCTCCAGCTAAAATTTCTCGAGGGGAAAGATACTGGCCAAAATACACCATGCCCTTTTAAAAAGGGTAAGCATCAACAGATTACATAAAAGAATACATGCTAATTTACAGCTAAGATGATGCTTCCTACAATACAATAACATAACATCTTGCTTTTAAATTGAAATGATAAATTATTTTACACAATAAATTGTTAATGAAACAAAAGGCCTTATGAGAAATATTTACAGCTTCTAAACTTTCTACAATAGAAGAAAAGTAACATACTTTTTGTTGGCATGGAACTTTTATTTCTCCCTCAGCTTTTCCAGCATTGACTGTCTGATTTGCCGCTGTTATGCCAAGCCAGTTCTCTGGTACAACCACAGACTAGCATGAGATAACCAACAATAATTTAAAATAAAGGCAAATCAACCATTAATTTTATTGTAATTTGAGTTTAAGATAAGGAAAACATGCAACTAAAAATTAGAAGCCTACTACAAAAACAGCACTAGAGTTTATTCTATAGAAGCAACTAATGATGCTCGAATATAGTAAGTCCTAGACTAAAATTTTAAGTTTTACTCAGCACTGAAGAGAATTTGAATTTTATTGTAATGATATCATAAAAAAATCATTATATTTACTTTTTAAAATCATCTAGAAAAGTAAACATTTTAAATATGCTCACATTAGGTAGAAACAACAACTGCTAAACAATACAGTTTCAAACTATACCAACTCATTCGAACAGCTAGATTAATGCCAAGGATTGTTACTGAGGGAAACTTAGTATATAATATTTCAAGAGGTCCTTTTTTTTTGTTCCAAAAAAATTATAAATCTAAAACTAGAATTAGCTGATAATTTCCTTTATCAGTTTATCATAACATTATTTGTCAAATAGTTAATAAGTAGATAAGAATTAATTACACAGTCAGAAACAAAAAATAATTAAGCAGCACACAAATATGTTGATGATATGTCAACAGAATTTCATAAAAAAACTCAAATGGAGTACTGATAGTGCTTTTCAAACACACTGATATTCTGCTTGTCAGAAATTAAACTGATCTTATATTCATATTGAGTAACAATATTTAAATTAACAGAGTCAAGAATTTTTAAATAAATTCCTTTTATTCATGTGCATAAATAAATTTCAAGAAAAAACATTATTTTTTATCTACATTTACCATGTTGGCATTTGTTATTACATGAAAAACTGCAGGTTTTTTTCAATGACTAACATTTTAGTTTGTTTTAGCCATTTTAAGTTGTCTTTCATGGGAATCTAGAATTCTTTACATTGTTTGGAAATCCATAGCACTAAGTGTTAGAGATAAATCTGTTGTTAGATAAGTTTAGCTATTTAAAAAGATTACAGCATGCATTTATCCTTATGGTGTTCATTTTTGTGATATTTTATATGATGGAGGTCAATATTTTTAATTGGTACTTATATTTACCACAAAGGTAATCAATCATTATTGTTGTGCTTTGATTCCATTCCTTTGGTGTTCATCTCTATTCACGTGTAAGATTTTGCACTAAACTAGGTCACTACATTATTCTTGTGACACTTTGCTTTCATTTACAGGTAAACATTACTTTTAAAGTAACTCACTTTCGTTCACATGCCTTTTAATATTCAGTTAAACACACAATGTCTTTATATATAATTAACAAATACACAGAGTATAGGTATATTTCTGCTTACTTCTCTTTTCTTCATGAGGTATTCAAATGCTTCTTTTTCCTTCCTGAGTGCCGTCAAGTATCTCTGTTCTTCTGCAGAGCCTTGATACATTAAAAGATATACTTGCACGGACAGGTGTGGTCTAAACGCTTGATAAATCTGCAGTACATGTGAACCAGTTTAATTATAAGCTCATAAGTAAAGGCACTAAAAGTTCTAGGACCTATTAGATAAAAATACAAATCCTGTATAAACTATTTCCATATATACTTTATCCTTAGAACCACTGATGAGGCCCACAGACCCTTTGGCTTTTTAAGCACATTTTTCTAAACTGCTTATGCACCAAATAACTTGAATATCTATAACTTTGTTTATATCATGGCCCCTAATAACATGAGTCACATTAGAAATGTAAACAAAAATACTATTGCAATTAATCCCACTAATATTTTTGTCACTTTTTATTACAGTGAGTGTTGTAACACAACAAAAACATAAAATTACTCCATGATGCAAAATGTGAGCCACACCAGTAGTGAATAGTATAGAAACAAGTCAGCAATTTTAGGGTTAATATAACATTTATCACTTTCTGTAACTGTTTACCAATCGAAATGAGGTTACTGCCCCAACATAGAACACAAGATATCAGTGACACAAGGTAGAGTGCAAGGTACCAGAAACATAACTGACACAGTGTAAAGTACACAGTACAAGTGATGCAATGAAGACACAATACCAGTGACTCATGGTAGAGTGTGCATTACCAGAAACATAAAATACATTGTAAAGTAAAAGGTACAAGTGATGCAGTGAACACAAGATACACAAGTTAGAGTGTACTGTACCAGAAACATAAAAGACAGTGTAAAGTACAAAGTACAAGTGATGCAATAAAGACAAAATACCAGTGACACAAGGTTGAGTGTACAGTGTAAAGTAAAAGGTACAAGTAATGCAGTGAACATAAGATACCAGTGATACAAGGTATTGAGTATTTATAAACTTACAAAAATGGGGAGTAAAAAGTTTTAGCCTTAAGTTAAGTTCTTTGAAACATAATTATGAAGAGGAAACCCAAACTATACTAACCAAAAGAGATTTTAAAAATCATCACTATTTTACACCTTCCAATAATTTATGTAATGCTTGTACAATGCATTTAAATAAAGAAGTTTGTATGCCTAGAATAACATAGTAGACTGATGAAGAAATGTAAGATGATGACAGTATGATTTCTTTTAATTCACAATGATAGAAGTGGTGAATAAATTGGTAACTGATTACTTTAAGAAACTATTGATATCTTACTTCTTTCTGTAAAAAAACACCACCATCATAATAGTAGTAAATTAGATATAATTTGTTTGTGTAAGCCTGTATATCAGTGAAATAGTTTTGACAAACAGGAAATAAAGCCAGAGCTATGGATTTAAAGTTGAAGAAGGGACAGAAACAATTTTTACCCCTCTAATAAAACATCAAAAGTCACAAGTTTAGTCTGTGTTAGTATAAAGTTGAAAAAGTACAACTTGGAGCCTTGTAAAAGTTTTCAGTTTGTCAGATTTAACGTAAGATGACCAGACTGGACAGAGTTAGTTATACAGTATAGTCTGACAAGTTACAAGCTTAAACCTGCTATCAAACTTTGTCACTACAAGCAGTATAGTCAGACAAGTTACAAGTTGAAACTTGCTATCAAACTTTGTCACTACAAGCAGTATAGTCAGACAAATTACAAGTTTAAACTTGCTACCAAACTTTGCCACTACAAGCAGTATAGTCAGACAAATTACAAGTTTAAACTTGCTACCAAACTTTGCCACTACAAGCAGTATAGTCAGACAAATTACAAGTTTAAACTTGCTACCAAACTTTGCCACTACAAGCAGTATAGTCAGACAAATTACAAGTTTAAACTTGCTACCAAACTTTGTCACTACAAGCAGTATAGTCATACAAGTTACAAGTTTAAACTTGCTACCAAACTTTGCCACTACAAGCAGCATAGACAGTCTTAAAATGGAAAAGAATAATTGTGAATTACAGGAAAATAAAAAAATAACTAGAGTAAACTTACTTCAAGTTGTCTTACAACCCCTACATCTGCATCATACATTACAATGTATTTTGGGTAGAATTCTGTCAGTATCCACTGCAAACCAAATGGATCTTTTTCTCCATGGAGGGGATAAATAATTGTGGGCTGGACTATTATAGGTTCTTCTGAGGTGTTTTTGGAAGATTCAATGGAAGCAACCAGCTCATCTCTCTCTGAAGAATCATCACTCTGATCCAAAAAAAAAGTGATAAAATCATTTATGTCACATTTAGTTCAATTAATAATTATAAGCTTTCAATAGCATAGCAACACACAAAATGGTCCTTTTTTTTCAAACCATTTACTCATTAAATTCACAAAACTACCAGAATTACTTTTTCAATATTTTTCAGAGTATGTGGTAGTTTTAAGATTAAGATCTAATGATTTTTCTTGAAGAAGGGCTTATTGTTGGATATACAAGACTGCTCAGTTTAAGAGTTATTAATTAGTTTATTTAGTGATTTAATATTTAATGATTATCTAATTTTCATAACAAGTGTGTTGAAAGATAATTATTTTAAAAGCGATAATTATGACAAGTTTCGTTACATAACTGTACGAGACATACATTGTGTATGTAGTTTAATTGTTTTACTAGGCTTTTGTAATATTGTTGACTTTATCTTACTTGAAGCTTCTAAGTGTTTCTCATTATGTTTAATATTGTTGTTACTAGAGGGCTAGATATTTCTAGATTTAAATATATATATTCTTTTTTCTGTCACGTGTTATAAATACGTGGAGATACAGAGTGCAAGTAAAAAGGAAGTTAATGAAACTACAAGTAAGATGAAGTTAGACTGCATGATCATGAATTTAGCCATAAAGAGTGTGTAGTGAAGACTTTTAAAGGGTAATAATCACAGACTGTATCGTAATAACATAGTAGAGAAGAATAATTCGTCTTGACAGTTGGGTTCTAAAGTAAATAAACCAACCTGAGTGGACTTTTGATGTAAAAGAGAATTATTTAATGCTTTGTATACATGATAACCCACGGAGTAACATAAGTAGATTTATCACTGATTGTACTGTAATCAGAGTAGACGAGGATAATTTGTCTGGTCACAGGGTGTTCTAAAGTAACTGAACCTGCCTGAGTGGACTTTGCCAAAAAAAAAAAAGAGACAATTATTTAAACTCTGTATACAACTGTGATAACCAATAGTGTAACAAAGTTTTGTACATAAGTTTGACTTGTTTGAATATATTATTTTAAAACAAGTGGATTGTGTAGTGTCTGTTTATTGTTGAAATTTATTGCCAACTAGTCACAGACACCTACTGTACAGAATCTGGCCCTATAAAAACCTGACAACTTTATATCGTGTAACAAACTACATACTTCTGCATTCAAAAAATTCCCTCTCTTCCATTCATAGTCACTACTAAGCTATTAACATTTCAAAAATTATTTAAAGAACAAAAGTATATTGAGAAAATTATGTTAATTTACTATAAAAGTCCATGTAAAATCCTGTTATATCACATATTGAAACAAAATTTACTTTTACACCAATAGAAATTACTTACAAGGTTGACATTTTCCACACACACCTCTGGATGAACACAATCATGATCTGATGCAGCCATCTGTGTCAAAGTTCTTTCATTCTTAACTTTGGGTTTTTTCTTCTTCTTCCCGTCTTCTTTAGGTGGTTTTGATATTTTGTAATTCTCTGTTGTAGAATCTTTAAGATCGGGTCTTAACAATCGATTATAGAGACGATTTAATAAAACATCGGCTCCACTACACAGTAACTAAAAAAAAAGAAGGCACTGTTTACTTTTCTGATATCATGTGATTTAAATTTCAGCACAACTAAAAATACTTTAGTCTAAGTCATTAAACTTTATTTCTGTTTATACATGATAAAAATGTCAGGAAAATACAGCTTAAATTAATATTAAATAGTGATTTCTAATTTTCATTATTTTATTCACATTCCACTTGTGTCTACAAGTTTCTGTTAACACAAAAAAATTTTTTTTCAATCATAAAATTCCTTTAAAATTTCAGCTTTTGTTCACAATAATTACATGCACATTTCAATATAAAATAAATATAATTTCTAAACAGGAAATATTTTACAACTTTTGTCCCCCCTAAAGATAATTCTTAAATATTTCAACGTAAATTGAGAAGATGAACATCACTAAGTGCAATTTTAATTCGAAAATTCAGCTTAAATTAACGTTAAATAATGATTTATAATTTCCATTATTTTATTTATATTCCACTCATGTCTGCAATCAAACACTAAGGATGAGTATCTTTTTACAAAACATAACTAAGTTTCTACAGTTAATCCTTGTAACAGTTAATACTCAGCTGTGGGAGAAATGATCACAATCAAACACTTTCTTCTTAAAAACTAAGGATGAGGATCTTTCTATGAAACATAACTAAGTTTCTACAGTTAATCCTTGTAACATTTAATACTCAGCTGTGGGAGAAATGATCACAATCAAACACTTTCTTCTTAAAAACTAAGGACAAGGATCTATCTATGAAACATAGCATTTTCAGTTCTCCTTGTAACATTAATGATCAGTCACAGGGAAATGATTGCAATCAAATACTCTTCAACTCATAATTTGAAAATAAATATTCCTTAGACAATAAACAGGATACTTACATGTTAAATTTTATTTATTTAACATGAGCTTTCAGTTAAAATATTGGAACAATCACCAGGTGAATGCAGAGCCAGTTAGTGTAGTGGCAACAGCTTATTTAATTATATAAAAATTTACTGATTACAGTTTGCAGTTTAATTCTGATAGTTGCTCTATTTTCAAGTTATTTTCCCAGTTCTTCTCTTTCTTTAATACTTCTTTTGTTTGCACGCTCCCTTTTTTTCTCTGTTTTTCAGTACATCAAAAATTGCTCACTTTTGTAACATTTTTTAAAATCCAACTTTGATGTATTTGTGTGGTGCTATAACAACAAATAAGCAAACTTTCATACTTAACACAAGATTATTTTAACTAACTTACACACTTAATTCCTATCCAATTTGTTTTATAATCTATTTTATAAAGTATTATAACTTTCACTTTATTCTCAAATAATTATTACTAATGGTTTTAGTCTGTGTAGCTTTCAACCTTTTAAAACAAGGAGCATTTACATCTTTAATGTATCTTCATATCCTTATCCTTACATCATATCCCACACTTACATCTTTAATCTATCTGCATATACCTTACCCTAATAAAACAATACATACTTACATCTGTATCCTGTAAGTATGTATTGTTTAACAAGGGTTAAACAATACACACTTACATCTTTAATCTATCTGCATATCCTCTACCCTGATAAAACAATAAAAATACTTACATCTGTATCCTGCAGATCCCTTATCCTTGTTAAACAATACATACTTACATCTTTAATCTATCTGCATATCCTCTACCCTAATAAAACAACAATACTTACATCTTTAATCTATCTGCATATCCTCTACCCTTATAAAACAACAATACTTACATCTTTAATCTATCTGCATATCCTCTACCCTTATAAAACAACAATACTTACATCTTTAATCTGTCTGCATATCCTCTACTCTAATAAAACAACAATACTTACATCTTTAATCTGAGTACGTGTTTTTTCATCATTAACTACAATCAGCACAGGAGCAAACTTGTTATTAATTGTGATATCTTGTTGGATTTCAGTCAAAGTTTTAACCAAAGCCAGCCATTTTGGACTAACTTCAGGCTTTATACCTAGAAAGAGGAGTTCTTAATCATAACAAAATATTTCTTATACATAAAATATTGTGACTCAATCCAAAGGTAAACAGATACTTAAAATGTAAATTTTTCTAGATGTTTTTAAATACTTTGATTTTTTTAAAGTTAATCATTTTATTAAGGCAATTTTCTTTCTTTTTTTCACAGAATATAAAATGTTTATATATTTTTGGAACATAATATATTGTAAAGATAATCATACTTTGTGCCTGCTCTCCATTAGTAGTTTTGGCTACTTTGCTTTTACTTTCAGGTCCAAACACTCGTTCTCTGGCTTGCTACAAGGAGAGGAAGAATATAAAGTTAACATGTTATGCTACCTCCTTAAAAGGAAAGAATTCTAGTAATTAAAAAGAGAAACAGTTTAGCTTAAAACTGAACATGACAACTGAGTACCAAAATATCTAAAGAAAACACATTATGAAGATGTGTGATATATTTCATCAGTATCAAAATTATCCTTTGTCTATTAGTTGCAAGTGGATCAATTGCAGCATAAAATTAACTAGACAAAACTGAAACACAATCATTTAACCTACTCATTCCAGCCTTTGTTCTCAGTGGTGATCATGCTGTTCAGCCAAAACTGACCATTATCTGATTCATACTTCACTTTAATCCCCCTTGTAGAAATGGACAGTTGGAAAACAGTTCAGTGATAATGTTTTAAATGTATATCAGAAAATTTTGAATCCAGCAGTACATCCACTAAAGAAATTAGTTAATTATAATGCCATAAATTAGGCTTAGCATTAAATAATCATATAAAGTTACACCAGTCTTCAAAATCAGGAAATCAAATTCATGAAAAAAAACAAATGCTGCTGTTAATTCATTCAGCATGAGCTCGGTCCTGGGGACCAACCTTGTAATCATTTTGTACTAGTTATAGTTTTCATGCTATAATTTTTTAATTAATAAGTGTATCTTAATGAATTTTGCAGATTATCAGTAAACATTAAAAGGCATTCTTACACAAAATATCAGATTTTTTATTAACCTATAAGATTTTTTAAGTAATGTTTTTCTCATGCCTTTTTTCTTTTGGAATGTTGACGATCCAATATGCAAATTAATTTTGATTTTAAGATTAAAAATACTTTTATGCATCAGAACATTTTTAAATTTCACATGCAAAATCTTTATAACCAGCCAATTTGACAGACCTCAAAATCACCATAAAAAATTATGAAATAAATATAAATTATGCTTTTTTCATTCTAGAATAACTACAAATTATAACATAATAACACAAATGTTTAGCTTAAATCTCACAACATTATACATTTATATATATATATATAATTATTATTTTTATTATACTGGCCTTTTCAGTGGTGTCTGGCTAACATTACAGTAGTTTCAATGACGTGATGCACGTGCACTCATATTACCATATCCAAGAATATAAAACTGGCTTTTACAAAGTGACCTGTCTTGATGTGTTTTAGTGGATTAGCATTTTGTAAAATACAGTCACATTTCAATTATTATAAACAATATATGTATATAGATTATTACTATTTACAAATAAGTTCTAAAACTTATTTTCTTAAAACATAGAACAGTAAATAAAGAAGTATAGCAAACAATTATCTCTTCTAGTTACAAACTTTGTAATTGTTTGCTGCTTGACATAGGTTGCTAAGCCTTATCAAATATCACACGTGGAAAATGTCAAATGAAATAATTTTTTTAGGTTTCATATATACATTTTGAAATAACCAAAAATAATAAATTACTATATCAATATCATAGAATTCCACTATAATTTATGAAGCTTAGTAACTAAGCTGTATTTGGGTCCAAAGAATATGAAATTTTGAGCTCACTAAAGTCTTACCTTACTGCTTCGAATCTAGCATAAAAAGAAAGAATTTGTCACCTGAATATTTCAAAAAGGTTGAGAAAGCTACTAGGGGGACATTTTGATCTTTTGATTGGTTATTCACATGTCAGAGACAGAAGTATGTGTACGTAAGAAAATGTTTCCAAAAATGGAAAGAGGTGGGCGTGGCCACTGTGTTTTAGTCAGTAAATGTAGCAATATCTCGGCAAATAGAAAAGATAGGAGGTTCTTATTTTGTATTCTAGCTTGTCAGTATTGGTAATTTGAGTTCCTAATTTGAAAGAAACTATAGGCTTTGTATTTGGACATCACAAAGATCTAATATGAACCAATGCTGCATTCAACATACCACATGACACACAAAAATTGATATTTAGGTGTGTTTTTTAATACTTACTTTTAAATTAAGAAATTAACTAATGTATAATGCTAAAAATGTGAATTATTATCTATAATTTGATACTAAACTTATTGACATAAGTTCATAAAATAGTAGGGAAATAACATTTTGAATGTGAGTCAACAAACTCAATGACATGACCCGTGTCGATAGAGTTAAATGCATAAATTTGATTACATTATGGCAAATTCCATAATCCATTCTAGAAAGATTCTTCCACTTAAAGATGCATTTAATACATCAGTGGCATACAAGGCAAGCATCCTCACCATGATAAAAAATGAAAAACCTAAATCATAAACTTCATTATTTTCTGCCCACGTGATTTTCAATTTTCACAAAATAGTACGATACAAAAAAAGACACTGTTTAATGCTAGCAACATACAGCACCAGACTCTTAACAACTTTGTTTTCAAGCAATGATCTTCTTTATTATTATTATTACAAGTTATAGCTTTTACAGTAAGGAAGATTTGTTTTTAGAACAGGTATGATGTTTTGATCATTCTTGTGTACTTGAGAATGATTGCACCATTGATCGAAACATCGTACCTGTTCTAAAAACAAATCTTACTTACCGTAAAAGCTGTAATTTGTAATAAAATATACTCAATCAGTAAGTAAACTCAAAACAAAACTATTGATCTTCCATGTTGTTCAAATAACATAAACTTATCCTTTCTGTTTGTTCTGTGTTAAAAAATGTCCAAGATATGTCAAATTATGACAAATTTAAAGTATTAAACTTCACAATAAAGTGAAGGTTCTTAATGAATTAGATGTTTGAACAATGATAATATTTATGGCAGATTCTGATACATTAAGCAAAATAACCATAAGTGAAAACTGAAATTGAATGAAAGATAATTAAAACCCTGTAGGATGTGTACAGTCATGCATATTTTATAGTAAAGTTTTCACTGGTAAATGGATCACCCTAGAAGCCTATCATGTAATGCACTGCATCATCACTTTTGTTTTCAAGCTTTTTTCACTAAATAAAATGTTAAACAAAATTATTAGAGAATTAACAAATAAAATGTCAAAGATACAACATATTATTTATTCATTTATTTGTTTATTTACAAACATCCTGTTCAAAAAAAGTGCAAAAATTTAAATCATGATGTAATGCTTGGCTTATAGAGCCACCTGTAGAATACTCAATGATACAAACAACTCACCTTACCTGACTTAAGATATCCAATACAACTGAACTTAGTGGATCCTTTAACTGATTTATCAGCAGCTTAATTTTCTATAAGATCTTAATCTTTGAAGTTATTCACAGATAAAACTAAAAACTAAATAGAAAAAATTTAACAATTTTTTTTCTGAGATCAGCATTTGTTTTTCATCATAAAATGAAACAGCTTTGCCTGTACGTTGTTCCCAATTTCGGGGTCCCCGAAGAGATGCAGATCATCATTTCTTACTCTTTTCAATAATTACAAACTTGACCAGCTTCAACATTTACAGCGGTCAGTACATAACAACAGAGGCTGGCTTAGAGCTAAAAACACAAGTTAAGAATTTTAAATTAAGGGAATTGTAAATAATAATGTGTTACAGATTTACCATTTTTTCAAGTTCAGTATCTTATAAATGAGCTGATTAAATATGTTGTTATGCAGAAAGTTGCACAATGGGTTTTTGGCACTATGCCTACTGCAGGGATTGAGCCCTAAATTTTTGCAGTACAAACTCTAAAGCTTACTTCTGAGTCATCATGGGGCAAGTTTATGATTTTGCTGTAAGATATTTAAAAAAGCAAACTGATTAAAATACAGAAAACTTTCATTTCTCTTCCACTGAATCAACATGATTGTTTATTGAATTTTATACAAAGCTACTTGTGGGTTACCTGCAGTAGCTGTTTCTAATTTAGAAATGATAGACTAGAGGTAAGGCAGCTAGTCAACACTGCAATCTCTTGAGCTACTCTAATGGAATAGTGCGATTAACCATCACTTTATAATGCTTCTAAAGCTGAAAGGATGAACATGTTTGGTGATAGGATTCCAATCCATAACTTGCACATTGAGAGTCAAGCACCCTAACCACTATGCTATGCCAGGCCTCGGCAACATAACTGACATTTTATGTTTATGTTTCTGAAAGCTTTATCTAAGATTGTAGCTGAATTTCATAAATTTTCTTCATAATAATTTATATATATAAATAAATAACAGAAAACTATTCAAATTCCAACTGAGATCATTCTCAATTTAATGCGGAACGTGATAGGTCGAGCAGATGCACCATAGAAGAAACAGTCTTCAACATGTTTCTGTATTCACACTAGAATTGTCACTTACTAATAATAATGCATCAATACATGTAACATTTAATGTAAGAGCAATGAAAATCACCATGATACTAGAAACAAATGACTTTATAACAGTAAGTTTGTTATTTTTCTTTAACTGGACACTCAATGTTTTACTTTACAGTTTCTTCAGGACCATTCCTTTAACATACACACCATTATGTGATGGATACAACCGTTACGGTTAATTGAGTGTTCAATTAAAGGAAAATAATAAATTTGGTGTTGTAAGGTTGTTTTTTACTAGTATTAACATGTCTTCTATAAACCAATATGCACTATAGAAATTAAATAATGAATTTCACTACGACATTTTAGGAAAATACTCTGATAACATATATGGACAAAAAAGTATAAAACCTAAAAAAAAAATTATGTATCTAAAAAAAACTTTTAAAACCATATTAAAGGGCAGTATTGGTCCTTTTTGCAAGAAAAAAACAACAAAATTATAAACAATATTTTTAAATACACATTTCTTTGTAAAAAAGATTAATGATAACTTCCCATAAGATATTACATTTATTAAGATATAAAACTGTAATAAAGATTTGAATAATTTTACTTACTATAAACATATTTTCAGCTGAATCCAAAAATAACCAATCAGAAATCTGAAAATTATTGGTTACACTGTCCCTGAAAATGCAATAAACACATGCCATTATGCTTTAAATGTCAGAAAGTTTAAGAAGTGTGTTATGTATTAGGTCATCAAGAAATTAATGTCTCGTTTCCGAGCTGTCTTTAATATTTCAAAGTGGGATACTCGTCATGAAATTTGATACGTACGCGCAACTCAGAATATTATTAAATATAGTGGTGTTATACCTAGTCAAGTCTTGTATAATTCAAAATTCCAAACGTACTTACTTTAGTATTTTTCCATAAAATTTTATCTTAAAATCTAAACACTTAGAAGCAATGAAACGTTTTCTTTGAAATGTTTATAAATTTCGAAACAAATAAAATGTTTTTATATTAGGTTGTTAAGAAATTAATGTGTTTTGGAACACTTTCATTTACCATCCCCCCAAAAAACGTACATTACATATAATAGTTAAATGAACCGAATAAATGTCACGTTAATGTAGCCAATATAATGTGTAAAGTTTAGTATACTCTAACCCCTTATAGTGATGGCAAATGATGAGACACAAATTTGACATGTAATGCTGTTTGAATACAAGAAGGAAAACAACACCTCTGTAGCCACAACAAATATCAAAGACGTTTATGGAAATGTTATGAATGTT